CACGCTGCCTGCAGCCACTGCGCCTTGCTGCGGCCCTGGCTTTCATATACGGCAGGGTCTCAGCTGTGGGGGGGCTTGCTGACGCCAAGAGCATGAGCACGAGGCCCCCAGATCTGCAAGCAGCCGGGATGGCTGGGGGGCTTCCCAGCACTGGCACAAAGCCAGGACCGAAGCGGACATACCAACACGGCGGTCACATCCTGCACCTTTACTTTCTCTTTCCTCTCAGATCCCAGCAGAATACCTAACAGTTTTCCCCTGCCTACTGCCTCAGCTGAAAGATGAAGATAAGATCAAGACTGAGCCTTTGAAATCTTTTTCCCCCCCTCCAGAGTTTTCTTAGGGCTGGTGGGAACCTGGCTTCTCTGTGCTGTGGGAAATTCCAGCAGTTCCAGTTGGGATTTTATTCCCAAAGAGTGAAAACCCCCAGGTTTCCATATGATGCGTTTTTAAAACATTTGGAAAAAACCCCAGCCTGTGACTTCAGCCTTTGCTTACGTTCTAATAGAAGATAATACCCATTTCAAGGAAATGAAATAAAATAAAATAAAAACCTGAGAGATCTTAACAGTCGGTTTGATCCGGGCAGAGCAGGACACGCTGCTGCGCCTCTTGGGCAGGTTTTTGGCCCCTTCCCCAGGCAGTGCTTTCTCAGGGCAGAGCCTTGCAGGAAACTTCTATTCCAGGAACCGGCACTGCCCGAGGCCGTCGGGCACCTCGGCTGCTGGAAGCGATAGCACCGACCCTACAGAAACAGGTTCTGCTTCTTCTGCAAAGGCATCACTGCCAGCGATGCACTGAGGAAGGGCTCCAGTGTGCGCGTGAAGTGGGAGTGCGAGCGCCTTGTTTGCCAAAGGCATGCCTTGCCGCCGGCCTTGTTGTTTCAAGGCACCAACAGCTCTGCGGCAGGCTAAAACGGAGCTGCTGGTCCCGCACAGCCTGGGCTGGTGGGGCTGCACCCGGCAGGGACTCGTCCAGGGCACACTTGGAGACCCCCTGTTGCTCCCAGCGCAGGTTTGGTGGGATACGGCAAGCCTTCCGGCGCCGGCGTGGGTCTGAGCCACCAGCAAGCCCTGCAGCTCCCACCGAAGGCAGGAAGCATGGATGAGGAAAAACCATGAGCAAACCTTGAGTAGGTCTGTGTCCCTGCTATGGAGAGCGGGCAGAGGGACCATGTGCTGCTGGGGCTCGGGCTGCAGCCTCCCAGCCACCAACATAGCTCCGAGGCTGGTCCTTGGACCCACAGAAGGGCTCCAGCTTATGCCAAACAGTCTGGTGTCGAGGTTGGAGTCCGGGCCATCCAGCTCCAGCTCTGCTCCAAGGATAGTTTCCCATCAGGATGGATGTCCCACTGCTGAAACGGTGGCTGTGCTGCGGGGAAAGGGAGACAAGGTCAGGTGTGAACTGGATGTTGGTGACAGCGTGAGGCACGCTCGGTAGCCTGCTCTGATGCCGTGCCCCTAGCCTTTGGCTGCTCACTGGCAGCCACTAGCCAGGACCTGGGCTTGTTGCTCCAAACCATGGGTGCCACTGGCCAAAGGACCAGGTCCCATCTTCCCCATGAGAGATGTGAAAGCAGCTCCAGCATTTCCCACCCCTCGCAGCTTTGCCGGGGCTGGTCACGCGCAGGTGCTGGAGCTGTGCACGGGATCAAGGTCCTCAAAGGTGGAAGGAACGTATGACTAACGCTGCGAGAATTGCTCTGGGAGGCTAAAAGCAACTTGACCCTGCAAAGGCAATATGCAAAACAACATGCAAAGAGAACAAGGGCTGTGTCCTAAACAAATAGGAAATCACCCCGGGACATGGCCCGTCTCCTACAGGGTGTTTCCGTGCTGGAAATTTATGCTCCTTGGCTATTCCTGGTTCTTGTCCAAGAAGGAATAAGTGCCGTTCATTAGAGTAGATTTGTCTTCCTGGAAATCAGTTGGTGACTGGAAAAAAAGGAAAATTCAGTGAGACCTCGGAGGCTGTATGTGACCTGGCAGAAAGAGATGCCAGAGCCGATCAGATGAGAAGGCTGATGATTTCCACTGCATTGTCCGTTCAGGAGCTCCCAAGACCTCAGGAGTTGGTATTCCTGGAGCAGGGAAGCCCAGCACCTCTGGTAGCAGGTATGAACAACATCCATGGATGTTGTCCACAATGTCTCTCGTGGAGGCTTGCTGGGAAGAGGCAGCAGGAACACTTTGCTTTTGGGAAGACCCAGCCGGTGTCTGTGCCGCAGAGGAGAGAGGCTGACCCAGGGCTCCAACTCTGGACATACGATGAGCTTTTCTTTCCCCTGCTCATGCTCCCAGCTGCGAGCTCCCTTGTGGCAGCTCATCCTTGCACTACACCCACCAGACCCCCAGACTTCGATCTGGAGAAACCTTGATGGCTTTTCAAATGCCATGGCACTGGCTGGTGTGGCCCAGAGCAGCCCAGAACCAGCCCAGCATCCTCCTCTCTCCCAGCTACAGCAACCAGTCCTGGACTCAAGAGACGGTTCCTTAGAGCCAAAGGTGGCCTCTTGCTCTGGAGGTACCCTCAGCCTACACTTCATGCAGAGCTCTTCAGCCATCAGTGTAATGAGGGAGAGAATTACATGACAGGGGACCCAGAAAATCTGTTTAGCACTGCACGGCTTTGAATTTTCCTCCTGTTAAAGAACAAGGCAGGAAATGAGGAGCAGATGGCTGGGGCTGTCTGCAGCCAGCATCTCCACGGGGGACAGAACAACTCCAATTTGGGAAGTGTCGACCAGTGCGGGCCTTGTTTTTTTTGAGTAATTGCTTTACATAGAAAACGGTTTCAAAAATAGCGGAGAACATCTCACAGGGCTTTCACTTCTCTGAACACAACGGCTTTCCCCCTCCCTTTGAATGGGGAAAAAAGCACACGGCGCAAAATGCTGATGCTCTGTATTTTCCCGCGGTGAGGCAGCCAGCAGCATCCCGCGCCAGCAGGGCTGCGGGACGCGGCTTTTCCCCCCCCCTGGCAGCATCACCTCCGAGCTGAGCGCTGGTGGCTGATGCCGGTGGGACGCTGCCCGGAAAGGTGTCTGCCCGCGGCGGGAATCGGTGCCTCTCCTCAGCAGCCGGAGCTGAGGACGAGTCCTTCTGCCACCGACCACCAAGGACCGCAGCAGCTGCTGCAATAAACAGGACTTAAGTTGGTTGGTTGGAAATATTGTTTGCAGAGAAACTAACACAGAGCTGTTCAGTCCGCAGTGCAGCTGAGCTTTTCCTACACAAAGAAGAGTCACTTGTCCCCCCCAGAGTGACGCGGCCACGGGGCACCAGCTCTTCCCGAGGATGGGGAAGGCTCTTCTGGGGGGACCTGCCTGGATTCCATGGATGAAATCGGGGCAGCTTGGCGGAAAAGGCCAAGCAACATGCCGAGACGCTGCCGGAATGGGCTTGCCTGAGCACGTTGGGCGCCTGGGTCCTGCCAAGTCCCTGTGGAGCAGGAGGGACGTCCTGGTGTTGCAATCCTTCTGCGTAGCTGAAGGCAGCGTTTCCACGGAGCCGGCGTGGTGAAGGAGAGCCAGATGATCCCCGAGAAGGTGGTCTCTCACCATGGCATAGCAGGGAAGGGAGGGCAGGGCGGCAGCGGGGCTGGTTAGGGTGGGCACGACGGAGACCTCCGCGCGCCGTGGGAGCTGCTGCCAGGCTGTCCCATGGCACCGGGGTGGGACAGGGAGGTCTGTCCTCCGCATCCCACAGAAGTGTCCTGCCAGAGCCGCCATGGGAGTGTGCAGAAGGCGGGGAGCAGGACAAGAGCCACAGCTCTGCTATTTCACCAGCCCCAGTTCCCCCCTGTCCCTCCCTCCCGTGGCAGCAGGAGCCGAGAGCGCACATGCCCGCAGCCCCCTGGTCCTGGGGTCATTCTCCTGGCAGGAACAGCCAGTCCTGGCCCCAGCCCTTCGCTCAGGGGCGCAGGGAGATCCCACAGAAATCCCTTCGGCCCCATCCAGCATGGGCCAGCACCATCATCACCTCTCCACATCCCCACTTCTCCATCCAACGTGTCAACGCACGCATGCTGTCAGTCTCCAAGAAAGGAGCTTACCAGAAACAGCTCTGTTTATTGCCTGCTCAGAAAGGCTCACCTCTTCCCGTCTCCTCCGGGCAGGAGAAGGCTGTCTGCCTTCCCACAAGAGCTGTGGGACCAGTTTGACACGAGCTTATTGTTAAGCCATGATGGTGAGTGAAGGAGAGACCCAGAAAACCCCTCTGCAGCAGGGCTGCTGGGGCTGACCCCCAACAGCATCTCCTGGGGAGCTGCTGGCACCCATGGGCCAGCCCCACAGGGCAAGCGGCACTGCCTCATGCCGTGCTGCAACCTGGCACCCCTGGCTCTGAGCTGAGCCCTCCCATCACACAACCCCGCAGATCCCACCGACCCTTACAGAAATGGGACATCACAGCCCTCCAGACCAGAGCCACCACCCAGCTCGTTCCAGTGGCTCTTTCTGCCAAGCCACAGCCACGGCACGCACCAGGCTGCCCACCGGTGCCCAGGCCATGCCGGCAGCAGCCAACAGTCCCTGGAGCCCGCAGGGTTTCCGATGCCCAACAAGCCTCTGCATGAAC